CTAAACTTCATATGAGATGTTTGGGTTTGTCATTGTGAGGTAGATAAGACTGCCCACGAGCTAATGATACAAGGTGGCATCTTCTAAAAGAGGTCCGTCATCCTTAACTTCAAATTGACTTCCAGGAGGGGTATCAACGGTCTTTGTATTAGTGAGGTGAGAAAGGCTGACAAGGTTAGTGCCATACTTCTGCTGATCAAGGAAGTAACCTCTGGAATTGTGATGAACTTCCAAGCCCAAGAAATAAGTAACTGGCCCTAATCTTTCATCTTAAAGAATTGGCTAAGGTGGTTTTTGAGCTGATGTATACTATCCTGATCATCTCCAGTTATGAGAATATCATCAATATATAAGAGCAAAAATGTGATACCCTGATAACGTTGTCATGTAAAGAAGAGTAATACGAAGAGCTCTGAATAAATCCAGGATCAGTGATCACAAATCTAAACCACTAAAACCAAGCATGAGGGACCTATTTAAGGCCATAAAGGGACTTTTTTGACTATGCAAACTAGGAGGGGTTCATCACAGTAGCCAAGAGAAGGTTTCATGTACACAACCTCCTTCAAATCCCCATGCAAGAAAGCATTCTTTACATCTATTTGGTGAATAACCCAATACTTTACTGCAGAGATAGCCAGAAAGAGACAAATTGTGGTGAGCTAAATCCCACGAATCTTGATGCTTCGTATAATTGAGGCATCAGGAGGATGGTGAACTAACTCCCAAAGTGTCATTCTCAAGAAGAGCAACTATTTCAGCATCTATGGCATCCCTCCAATGAGTGTGAGCTACAGCTTGATGGTAAGACCTGGGAATATCTGTAGTGGATAGAACAAAGAAAGAGCTATGGCCTGAGGGAAAACCATAGCGGTCAGGTAGTCCAAAAACTCTAGTGGAGCGGTGCAAGGTAGGAATATCAGTGTGAACAAGAGGGGATGGTGTACTTAAAGGAGTAGGAGTGGATGTGGTACCATGCTCTGGAGGAGGGGTTGGGAGCATAAGGGCTGAAGCTGCTAGAAACTTCCTAAAATAGAGTTGGCTCATCAAGCGAGAAGGTGGTGTTTCTGAGGTACCTACAGGCTCAAAGTGTTGAATAATATAAACTGAAGGAGCAGAAAACTTTGTGATATGTTGAAAAAAAGAAAGATCTCCGAGAAATATCACATTCTGAGAGATTCTAGTCTGACAAGACTGAGGATCGTAACATATAAACCCTTATGGTCAGGACTATATCCCAAGAAGGCACATAAAATAGACTAAGCAGACAGCTTAGTACGCTCGTGTGGAGGAAGATGAGCAAAACAGATGCAACCAAACACATGAAGCATGGATAAATTGGGAAGAGTCATAAACAAAGACTAATGTGGGGATATGTTACCAAGAACAAATGATGGAAGAAGGTTGATAAGATATACAGCAATGTTGGCCACCTCCACCCAATAAGTTGTTGGAGCATGAAATTCAAGGAGGATTCTAACAACACTCAAGATATGGTCATTTTTGTGTACTCTCCTCCATGGTGTTGAGTTCCAGGACAGGACTTCTGAGACTATATACTATTGTGTTGTAAGTAGGCCTGAAAGTCCCCATCAATGTACTCTCCCCCTAAATCTGAACGGAGAGTACTAATGATGGCATTAAATTGTGTGGTCACTCTGGCATGGAATAGTTTAAATATAACAAATGCATCTGATTTCATTCAAAGAAAGTATATCCACATATAACAGATATGGTCATCAATAAATGTTATAAAATATTTAAAACCAATCCTAGAAATTACTGGAGACGACCAAACATCACTGTCCACTAACTAAAATGGTACAAAAAAATGCAAATGAGATTGCCGAGAAAATCAAATGTCGAATTTTATCCTGTCATAACATTTGCAATGTCATTCTTGATCTGAGATGTGGAAGATGAAGCATCATCTGATCCCTCGACTGAAGTCTTGATAAGCCTTGTGATTACTCTTTTTCCCACTAGACTGATTTCCTTTAGGTGGTCTTGTGGAACATTCAATGATAATTTGACCAAATTTCTTGTAGTAAGTACAGGTATTTTTCTTCCTACAATGGGATATCACATGATCAAATTCTTTGCATTCATAAAATTGTACTTTGGATAAGTCCTTTGGTTTGGACTTATCTATTGCTAAAAATGCAGCCTCTAATACATCATTCTTGGCATTCAATGCTGATAAAGTAATTATCCCGGTTTCCTCTCTGAGTAATTCACCCAAAATAGTATAAAATGATGGTACATTGTATCTACATAAGATGTTTGATCTTATTACCTCATACTCAGGTTGGAGATGTATCAAGAAATGCATTACATTCCTTCTGTCAAAATGTTCCTTCAAGGTTATGATATAGCAAGCTGAGAACATTTTCACCCATGTGAATAAGTTCAAACTCTTTCCAAAGATTGATGAACCCCACATAGCATTCCTAAATTTTCCTTTCACCTTGGTTGTAGAGAAATATCTCAGTTTTAATCCCATACTACCGTGAGATGTTGGATTGCTAAAAAACCTTTTCTAGATATTTGTACATCTCCTTGGCTATCTGGAGACCCCTCATAGGGATAATAACAACATCAGTAGTGACTGAACTCAGAATCCAAGATGCAATTTGGGCATTACTAATCTTCCAAGTCTGCAGCCCTTTTGCATCAGTTACTTCAGGCATAGTGGTGGATCCATCAATATAGCCCCACAACCCCTTATATTCAACATAAAACTGAAAATGGAACAGCCATAAGGCATAGTTGGTTCCATTGAACTTGATAGAAAGAACATCACCTCTTTCAGATGCCATAGTAAGAGAAAAGAGGAAGAAATAGTCTCTAACAGGATAAAAACAAAAAAATATGTTCACGGTCCAGAAAAGAAGGATCACAAATGAACCAAACAAAGAGAGGGATCAAAACCCTAGCAAATCAACTAAAATCTTCACCAATTTCTAGGGCTGTAGGAACAGCCTAGGGCGACACTAAATTCTTCACCAAATTCCTAAAATTATCATAAACAGGGGCATTATTGTACTTGCATTTATTCTCTATTAATATATATATATATATATATATGCTGGGCCGACTTTCTTAGAGAGATTAGACTCTAATCTTCTCTTCTAAGAGAGGTCTCTTGCCTAATAACTCTTTCTCTTCTCTCCCCCATCTCTCTCTTTTCCTGGTCTGAATAATAATACAGCTCTGTTACAATAAGATAATGAATGGGGCGGCCAGATCATTATTGGCTTCACCCATCTCTTCTTCTCTTTCTCCTCTTCTCTTCTCTCCAAGAAACTCTTTTATTACTTTCTTTCTATTACAGTTACCAAATCAGGTTGCAGTTTTGAGTTTTCTACTTTCTTCAGTCTTGCTGGAATAAGGTGTAGATGCAACTTCCAACAAGTGTCTTAGGTGTGCTTTGGCTTCTTACATTAATCACAAAATGTTGCCTTCTTGTCTTTCTTCCCCATACCTTTCTCCCTATCAACATCATACTTTGGTTTTACTACTACTAAGGCTGATTTCATAGGTGGAATTTGTAACATAAATTTCCCCCTGTTCTCATCACTGTAAGCTAAAGAATAAGCTTGATATAGAGTAACTCTATCTCTAGTAAGTAACAATTGTCTCACAATATCATACTCTGAATTCAGACCAGCAAGTCCGAACACCCTATTTGTTCCACCAATTTCCTATATGTTGCTGCATCCTTCTGGATTTCCCACTCAATTGTCTCCAAGAGATCAATTTCATGCCATAAAGACTGCAATGTAGAGAAATAGACAGATACAGGATTGTCCCCCTATTTAAGATTGTTTACTTCACACTTCAACTCATAAGCCCTAGCAACATTAAGAGGCTGAGTAAGTCTCCTTCATATTCTCCACTATTTCCTTGGTAGTTTTCACCCACAAATACTTTCTGCTTATGTGAGGGTGCATGGAATTATACAGCCAAATCATCACCAAATAGTTTTCTTGAACCCACTTAGCATGAGTTGGGTCCTCCTTGGCTGGTTTTTTTGTATCTCCAATCATATACCCTAGTTTTCCTCAACCTCCAATGGCCATCATGGCTGATTGTGTCCATCCATGTAATTAGTTCCATCAAACTTGATAGATAAAAAATAACAAAGACCATCATACCCCTGCTACCGAACAGAAACACAAACAGTAAAATAAAAACATAAAGAATAGATAAAAAATAACAACAGGAAGATGGGACCACAGAAACAAATACTGTACTGTTTTCCTACAAACTTTTTGCTGAACCACTATGTGAATCCAACTAAAATAATCTCCTGAACAGGTTGAAGAAGATATGCAACACTAGAAACCTGATGCCATTTCTTTCCTTCTTAAAATTCAACTATATTTCACTTCATGAAAGTCCATAAGCTAGTCTGCATCTTCAAGAGAATTAGTGAGTTTTCTGGCTCAAAAATACACTTTTCCGCATGTTTATATTTTTATACATCAAACTAGAATCAGATGGCCTCAAGATTTTCCAAAGAATAACTACAGAGGTAGCATAATACCATTTTCTAATTGTGAATTGTCAGGTGGCACAATACTATTGAGGAAGAATTGTTGCCAATACACCAATTTAGTACATAATGAAAGGAAAAATATGGTATTTGGTATCTCCAAATTAACGGTTGGCTATTTTCCTTCTACCTGACCAGTAGTAATTTTTTCTCATCAATCTGGATCTTCCAATCAAAAGGGCACCTGTTAGGAAGCCCCAATATCAGATTGATCAGAAAAAACTAGCCACCATATAGAATCTTTTTTTTCTCTCAATCATTAATGTTGTTCTTTCCAGGCCTCCAAGTTTTACCTTCAACAAAGATAGCTAGCATTCTTTTTTATGAAACTTTAATGTCATGCACCATCCAACAGAAACTCTGCCTAGTTTCCAAAATTTCTATTTATCCTCAAAATGAAATCAAAGCCTCCATAAGAATTTCTGTTTCTCATTCCTTGTACCTTTGCATGTCATATACCCGAATAGTAACATTGTTGATATGTCCAATTGCATCCCCAACAGCTAACCTTGTCAATGTCTCATTCAATGCCACCATTGGAAACATGCGTACAACTTCCTTCAATGCTGCCATTGAGCTCTTGAGGCAAGCTTTACACATGATTGAGTTCCCAGGGTCCATGGTTCGTAAAATAAAGCTCACCACCTGCAAATAGTGGCCAACTGTGAGAGCTATTACCATAAAAGAATATCTACAAACCTATTCAAGCCTTATCCAAAAACAATAAAATACAATACTATTAAAACCACTAGAAGAAGTGTAGATGGCTGTGGCTTGATGTTTAATAGTTTTACAGGGAAGGTCTATAGAAGCTTGTGAATAAAATGGCAATCTCATCAGAAAGTAAAACAGTTGGAAGTATCAAATAGATATTTTGCTTGGAATAACTACCTATTGACAGTCAATGAACACAAGGAAAAAGGAACTCATCCTAAATTCTGATTATAGCACAGTAGTATAGCCAATTGTTACCCTTTCGTTCCATCACTAAGCAGTATATCTATAGATTTTTATAATAAGTACATAATTGCTAAGACATGAGACATATAAAGTGTGGAGAAAATGTTTGATGAGCTTGTGGTCCACATTTTTTATTATTCTCTGATGATCTGTTAGCATGTCTTATGTTGCTGTTAGCATGTAATTATGTTGTTACTGTCGACAGGGTGTTCCTGTCAGTGTACGCTTATTATTTGTGTCTAATATAAATAGTACATGAGGTGGCAGATCAGTTTAGATCGACAGCACCCCTTTCTTCTATTCTTTTTCTTCTCTACGCTCGTCTTCTCTTCTCTTTTTCCTCTGTTCTCTTCCTTCTTTTCTGGCTTTTCTTTTATAGAACAGGTCTGAACCTCTTCTGTTACAGACAAGCTGGTATTAGAGCAAGTCCAAAACAGACTAGGGTTTCTCATGTAGGGTAGTCCAGCAGACTACATGAGACTTTTTTAGGGATGGAAGTTACAGATTGAATCGCCTGGTTCCTGGAGATCAATGGAGATTGCAGGAGGTGCCCAAGGTACTGAAATCTTGGAGTTGCTTGGTGACCAGGAAGAATCAGAGAAAAACAGGTCAGTTTCTGATTTAGGGCTTAAATCAGTGATTGAGTTTGGTGCCCAGCTTTTTCTAGGTAGTTTTCATACTCCTTTTTGGATTGACATACCTCAGAAGTTGTTTGGAATCCTCTGGTAGGAATCAGCTGTCAGTTTTCTGACTTTTCTAGGGCTGAGTTTAAGGTTTTTTCTTGAACTGTGTTTCTGGACTGAATTGTAAGCAGTTTTCACTTCCTTGGGTTCATGGAGAGGCCTGTAAACCTTTTTTATTCTTCTGGGCGCTGCTAGACAGCACTTGAAGGGGCAAATTTTGTGAAAAAGGAGTTAATTAGTGCAGGTTCTTCCATTCTGTGACTCTTTATTGATCTTCCAGCATGGAAATTACTAGAAATGAGTCGAAATCATATGGGGAAGGACTTATGGAAGCAGGAAATGCTACTGACAGCAACTCAATTCAGATTACTACAGTAAAGTTTGATGGAACAAACTATTTGGAATGGTCCCAATCGGCCATGATGGCCATTGGAGGAAGGGGAAAGCTGGGGTATGTGATGGAAGACAAAGAAACCAGCACAAAAGGATCCATCTCTTACTAAATGGGTCCAATAAAATTATCTTGTTATGACTTGTTTATGCAATTCCATGCAACCCCATATCAACAGAAACTATCTATGGGATAAGACAGCAAAGGAGATTTGGGACAACATGAAAGAAACATATTCTTAGCCCCTTAATGTTGCTAGAGCCTATGAACTGAAAAAATGATGTGAATAATCTTAAACAATGGGAGAAACCTGTGTCAGTTTATTTCTCCACCCTGAAATCATTATGGCATGAGATTGGTCATCTTAAAACTATTGAGTGGGAGAGCCAGAAAGATGCTGCCACATACAGAAAACTAGTTGAAAAATTTTTTAAAAAATAGTGTTTGAATTCCTCGCTGATTTGAACTCTAACTATGACATTGTGAGGCAGCAACTACTCAGTAGAGATAGTGTCTCTTTATCTTAGGCCTACTCTCTAGTACACTGATGAAGATAGGGCAAGGTGTATTGGTGATAGGAGATCTACCTCAGGGTACTCTTGTTGGAGGAAATCTAGTTTCTCGGAGGAGCAAGAAAAAAAAATGTTGTTCCTGGCTCCAATGTTGAAGTTGAATACAGGGCTATGGCTAATGGTGTTGCTAAAATGTTATGGCTGAGATTACACCATAACAGTTGGGGATTGAGTATGAAGGACCCTTGAAGTTGTATTGTGATAAGAAAACGGGTATTCACATTGTTTATAATCCAATACAGCATGATAGAACCAAACACAAGGAAGTTGACAAACATTTTATCGGAGAGAGAGTTGTCTCTCAAGAAGTGTGTCTTCCTTATGTAGCCTCTGATATGCAGTTTGCTGATCTCTTCACCAAGGCAGTCACCAAAGTCAAGCTTGAGACAGATTTAAGTAAGTTGGGAATGACAAATATCATTTCCTAACTTAAGGGGGAGTGTAGAAAAAATGTTTGATGAGCTTGTGGTCCACATTTTTTATTATTATCTGATGATATATTTCTGTTTTATGTTGCTGTTAGCATGTGCTTATGTTGTTACTGTCAATAGGGGTATTCCTGTCATTGTACACTTTCTATTTGTGTCTAATATAAATAGTACATGGGGTGGAAGATCAGTTTAGAATGACTGCACCCTTTTCTTCTATTCTTTTTCTTCTCTACTCTTCTCTTCTCTTCTCTTCTTCCTCCGTTCTCTTCCTTCTTTTCTGGTTTTTCTTTTACAGAACAGGTCTGAACCACTTCAGTTACTGACAAGTTAAAGGAATTGAATCATGAGTGCTCTGTGCTCCTACATCAACAATGCCCAAAAGTCACCTCTTTATAAAAGAAAGTCTGTTGGGGAAAGCCCCCTAGTCACCATCTCCTCTGTGACACCTTGCCTTCAAAGATTCTCATATTTCATTCTCTCTAAACTGCGGTCCAAATTATAACCAAATGAATGCTGTTCCACAGGACCCTACCTCTTTCATTTAATTAATCCTTTCACCTTCCAACTTGATAGTAGCTCCACCACTTTTCTAGGATGGCACCGGTTGAAGTCGAGTAAGGTGCAAAACTGTGAAAAAATGTAGGAGATGAACAAGCAGTGTGAGAATATATGTTTACACTTTCCATCTTCCTATGGATAGAAGACACAACCTGTCTCTAGGGTCACCACTCCTATTGCAAACTTGTAATCAACTTGTCTCCTATAAAGCATTTTCCAAATGTAGCTGACTATAATTCAAAACCTACCTTAGAAGGGACTGGAAGGTTCCAGATATCTTTCTGAGGAAAGCTCTCCATCACTGATCTAATATGGTTCCTGAAGAAAGATTTGACTGATAATTGTTCGGATATTTTCCATACCCAGCTCCAAACATCTTTAGAATCAGGAATGTAGGACAAAAAAACAATTTCAGCATCAGGTTAGCCAGCCCAGGTTCCAAATTTTTCTACAATCAGCTACCTCTATAGGCTCTCCAGTTGAGTAAAACCATTTACCCATTAACGCTACATTTTCCAGCCTCAATCTTTGCAACTCTAGACCATAGTTGTCGAGGCAATGCCTAGGCGACTAGGCGGTTTTCAAACTTCGCCTCGCCCAAACACCATGTAAATTTGTATAAGGTGCACACTGATAACTCTGTATTTTGATGCCTTAAGGGCATCATTTCAGGGGTATTTTCGGCCTTAGAATAGTCAAAGTGTGCCATTTTCCCAGTTACATTCAATGTTGTGACCTCTAAGGGTCTCTGTCCAACTTTTGTGGAAAACTGGGGAAGTTACATGGCTGAAATGCAGTTTTTGGGAAGTTGGTGTGAAGTCCAGTTGAGAGAGGGGGTGTTTTTGTGAAAAACTGAGAATAGGAGGGCGCCTCCTATCTGCTAAATAGGGCTGTTCATAAGAAGGCCCAACCCAACCAACCCGGACCGACCCAACCCGAGTCAGCCGGGTTTTCATCAGCATTGGTCGGTTTTGGGTTGGGAAAATTCATAAACCGATATATCGGGTCGGTTTCGGTTTTGGTCCCTTTCCAATTGCACTAACAGTCGGGCCGGTGCGAAAGAAGAAAGAGACTCGCAACGAGGAGATCAGGGAGTTATTCAAGCAAGTCCATATTAACACCCCTCTCCTCGATGCGATTCAACATGTCCCGGCCTATGCCAAGTTCCTGAAAGAGTTGTGCACTCAAAAGAGGGAGCCACGAGCGACCCCACAAAAAGTGATGCTCTCGACAGACGTTAGTGCGGTCCTCCTAAATCAACTACTCCGGAAGATGAAAGACTCGGGTGCTCCTCTCAAGCTGTCATCTCTAGAATCACCTTTGATCGAGCCCTATTGGATCTTGGGGCTAGTGTAAATCTGCTTCCATTCATTATCTATGAAAGGCTCAGGATCGGCGAGTTAAAACCTACCTCGGTAATTCTGCAACTCGCTGATCAGTCGGTCAAGACTCCTCGAGGTGTTATCGAGGACGTCATTGTCAGGATAGAGAATTGTTATTTCCCTGTAGACTTTGTTGTCCTAGACATAACCCCAACCGAGGAGCTGAACCATAACCCGATTATCTTAGGACGGTCGTTTCTAGCAATGGCCAATGCAACCATTAACTGTAAATCGGGAGAAATGGACATTTCATTTGGGGAGCAGAAAGTCCAGTTGAATGTTTTTAGTGCCTCTAAGTATCCAAACCTAGGGGAAGATGAGTGCAATGTGGATATAGTGGACGATCTTTTGGATAACTTGTCTACCCCTTGGTTAGCCCAGTCTGAGCCCTGTTGGTATGAAGAAGAAAGTGAGTCTGAGAGTCTGGATGGAAGAAGTGAGTGAATGTGTCTAGCTGAAGACGTTAAACTTAGCGCTGGTTGGGAGGCAACCCAACATAGTTTTCAGTTGCTTTTGCTGTTACGATTAGAGTTTTTCTTTTCTTGATTCAAGACCAGTTGGCAGCCCTTGAACCCCTTGGGAAAACCCTATTGATTGTTCCCTTTGGCCCAAGTCCTGTTTGCATCATTCTAGTCATGCCATTAGGGGCAATGGCACTTAAGTTGGGG